GACACCCCCCCCAACCCCCCCCTCCCCCCCGCCCCCCCCCAGCTCTTCCATTTCCCAATCACTTGGCGCAGCGCTGGAATTCAATGAGGTAAAGCCAGGGCCTGGTCCCGTTGCTGTGGCAACGCCCTCCCACTAGATTTCGGGAGAGGGCCAGATTGTGGCCAAGCAGAGAGCGTGACCTAGCACAGCCAAGACTGGACACCATCTCGGAGTCTCCCCTGACCCCAGGCTCAGCCCACCCCCCTCCTCCTGCACAGCTACCAGGGCATGACCACTCCCAGGCCAGCAAAGTGCCAAGGCAGGGGCCAAGAAAGCAACTGGATAAAGCCTGGGGCAGGCTGTAGGGAATTGAGCCATGAGCAGGACCAATGACCCCCTTCTATCTTACCCCCCCCACCTTGTGCCCTACACCTCCTACCCCACACACTGCCCCAATCACTGTTCCCCCCTTTCCCCGATGCACACCCCCTATGCCAATATGTAGACACTCCTTCTACACTGCAGCCCCTCCCTAGACCCCGATTTGTCCCCCAGTGGTGCTGATACCCCAACTCTCCATCCATACTATGACCCCTCCATAAACCCCAACACAGCCCTGCCTGCAGTGCCAAAAGCCACTGAATATCCATCCACACTGTGCCCCCTCCTGACACTGACTCACCTCAAAACTGCACCAGTATCTGTCCTTCCCTCTGCACTGGGTCCCCTCCCCATAACCCGATTCATCTGTCCCACGGGTGCCAACATCCTTACCTTCCACCCACGCTTCACCCCCTCTCCCCGCCCCCCTCATAATGCCCATGTCCCTTCTTGCTCCACAAGTTCAGACCTTATATTCTCAGGCTTTCCTCCAATAACTCCTCCTGCTTTTCCCCACCACTGAGAAAGCACTGGCTGGGCACTGCCCAGTCTCCCTCTCTTCTAGCATCACCTGGGCTTCTGACTTAGTCACCCTCAGTGACGTGCAAAGCTGTAGTACAATCTCACAGATGAGTAAGTGAGTCTCAGTCATTCTACAGACTATGGACCATCAGACTACCCTGAGCCAGGACCAGGGTCCAAATATGGCCTCTCCTAAAGCCTGCCGAGGGGTGCATTGATCAATAAAGGCATTCC